AGCAACCTCCAACTCCTAGGCTCAAGCGAGTCTCCTGCCTCTGCCTCCCAAGTACCTGGGACCACAGGCACCCGCCACAACGCCCGGCTATTTTTGTTGTTGTTGTTGTTGCAGCCATCATTGTTGTTTGGTGGGCCCAGGCTGGATTTGAACCCACCACCTTAGGTGTATGTGGCTGGCGCCTTAGCTACTTGAGCCACAGGCGCTGAGCCATACCACAGTTCTGAAAAGCAACTTTTGGTGAGGGTACTAAGTAACAAGCCCTTGAGACACTGAGTATAACAATAAATATTTGGAAAATTCATATTCTAAACAGATGTTACTGAAATGCTCCCAAAATATCACTTCTGAAGCCATTTTCTGAGGCTGGGCATGATGGCTCACACATTCTAGCATTCTGTTAGGCCAAGATAGGAGGATTGCTTGAGCTCAGGAGTTCAAGATCAGCCTGAGCAAGAGCCAGACCCATCTCTACAAAAAAACAGAACAAATTAACTGAGTATAGTGGCCACACCTGCAGTCCCAGCTACTCGGGAGACTAAAGCAGGAGAATCACTTTAACCCAGGAATTGGAGGTTGCAGTGAGCTGTGATGATGCCACTGCACTCTAGTCAGGGCAGCAGAGGGAGACACTGTCTCAAAAAAAAGAAAAAATATTTACTTATTTTTTCTGGGAAACTGCCACATACAAACCACTACAAAGGGTAACTATGTAGCCCCAGTTGGTCCCTCACTTGAACCATCTCACCTTTATTATCAAGACACTCATAGCATGGAGCATTCAAATTGGATTCAGAAAGTTCTCCTGGGTCAAGAATAGGAAATGCAATGACAGAAGTCTAGAGGAGGGGAGGAGAAAACCCAGTATGCTGGACATCTGTCTTAACCAGCTCAGGCTGCCACAAGACACTAAGTACTTGGTGGCATCTTTACTTCTTATAGTTCTAGAGACTAGAAGTCTGGGGTCAAAGCAAGGCCCCAGCAGATTTGGCGTATGGTGAGGGCCTGAGTTCTGGCTTACAGACGTTGCCTTTTTACTGTGTTCTGACAGGAAAGAAAGATGAACAAGCCCCCCCCAGGCCTGCCTGTAATGGCCTTTACCCCACTCATGAGGGCAGGACCTAAGCACCTTCCAGTGTGTTCGCCCACGGGTAGTGGAAATTGCAGAAAGCAGAATCGTGACTCTGGAAAATAAAAGGAGCAAGTTTTAGGTGCAAGAGCTTTAGTCTAGTGATTGAATAATGGGGAGACTGGAAAAGGTAAAACCTTTATAAATGTCATGGACTTTGCCAGGCCTTTTCTGGGACATAAAGAAGATGATTCTAATGGCAATAACCCAAGTTTCATGGATTTTTCCCTTACCTGCTTACCTCATATTAACTTCTGCTCTGCTCTCCACTGACTCTGGCTAGACACAGCAATCTTTCCGTAATATCTGAGGGGTATTTTGACTTTGTTGGTCAGCCATCACCGTTTTCTGCTAAGACTTCAGTCCCCAGTTGGCATCCATTGGATGTTGCCATATCCATAAGACATGGCCATCACTCACAGGGAGCTGCCATCTCCTGAGCTCAAGCAATCCACTCACCTCAGCCTCCCAGAATGCCCACCATTATAGGTGTGAGCCACCATTCCCAGTAAGTTTGACTATTTCAGAGACCTCATATAGGCAGAATCATACATTTGTTCTTCTGTAACTGGCTTATTTCACTTAGCATAATGTCCTTAGATTCATTCATGTTGTTACATAATGGAGAATTTCTTTTTAATATTCTATTGTGTATATATACTGTATTTTCTTTATCCATTCACCCACTGATAGATATTTAGGTTATTTCTACTTCTTGATTATTGTGAATAGTACAATGACTAATGTGAATGCTAACGTTTCTCTGAGATCCTGATTTCAGTTCTTTTAGATAAATATCCAGAAATGGAATTGATGGGATTGTTTTTTGTTTTTGTTTTTTTTTTTGCGACAGAGCCTCAAGCTATCCCCCTGGGTAGGGTGCCGTGGCTTCACAGCTCACAGCAACCTCCAACTCCTGGGCTAAAGTGAGTCTCCTGCCTCAGCCTCCTAAGTAGCTGGGACCACAGGCGCCTGCCACATCGCTTGGCTATTTTTTGGTTGCAGCCGTCATTGTTGTTTGGCGGGCCTGGGCTGGGGATTCAAACCTGCCACCTTAGGTGTATGTGGCTGGTACATTAGCCACTTGAGCCACAGGTGCCGAGCCAATGGGATTGTTATTAAAAAAAAAAAAAAAAGAAAGAAAGATAGCCCAGTGTGGTGGCTCATACCTCTAATCCTAGCATTCTGGGAGGCCAAGGTGGGTGGATTGCTTGAGGTCAGGAGTTCAAGACCAGCCTGAGCAAAAGCAAGACCCCGTCTCTGCTAAAAATAGAAAAATTAGCTGCATGTGGTGGTGGGCAACTATAGTCCCAGCTGCTCAGGAGGCTGATCCAGGAAGATTGCTTGAACCCAGGAGTTTGAGGTTTTTACGAGCTAAGCTAAGGCTGTGGCACTCTAGCCCAGGTGACGGAGTGAGATTTTGTCTAAATAAATAAAGTTATCTAGATAAAGTTATTTATCTAAATAAATAAATTTTTAAGAAGACAAGTCTTGGCAAGGATGTGTAGAAATTGGAACCTTTATACACTATTGGTGGGAATGCAAAATGGTGCAGTTAATGTGGAAAGCAATATGGAGGTTAGGTTCTTCACCAAATTAAAAATAGAAGTATAATATCATCCAGAGAGATACTTTGCGGTAACAGCAATCTAAATTTTAATGGAATAGTTTCAAGGGAAGATTATACAATTAGAGATGTTTAGTGGTATGTCTAGCCTTCACTAGAAATTAACTTAATCTCGTTAGCTCCTTGGGATTGTTGCCTATTTATAACATGAGAAAACCTCTTTTAGCTGTTTTTCTAGAAACTGCTTACAAACCGTTCCAGCAGCAGTTTTCTCATCCCCTAAAATTGGCCTCAAATTCCATGCCCTGTGGAAAGTTCAGTGTCCTTTCTAATACTTCTGTAAATTCCTGGGAGATTTATAATTTCATGACTACTCTGGCCCTGCCTTCCTAAAATTCTTGGTCCCCACCCATGTGGCCATATGATTGCTCCTTTATTTTTATCGTATCATTGACCAAATGTGAAATTCAGCACCGTTCCTTAATTTCCTTTATTTATTTTTTTGTTGTTGTTGTTTTTGTTGCTGTTTGGCCGGGGCTGGGTTTGAACTCACCACCCTTGGTATATGGGGCTGACACCCTACTCACTGAGCCACAGGCACCACCCCATTAATTTCCAAAAACAAAACAAAACAAATAAAGAAATACAGTCATCCAAAGTCAAAGTGAATGTCAGAGACTTCATTGAAAGTTTATGAATTGGTAGAACTCTAAATTTTAAACAAATTTTATCACATATTAGATACCCATCCACACCCTAAAAATGTTGTCAGACTATTAAATTGCTTGGCCTGTACTCTCTCTCCTTCTCCTCCTCCTGTTCTGTTTGTCCTCTCAACTCCAAAATCCTATACAGTTTGCTGTATTTTTATTCCTGTCTTCTGCTGCTCATACCCCAGAGTCTTCTACACTAAATATTTCCTCGAGATAGTTTCCTAAACAAAGCCTAGGAGGAATTCTGGTGCCCACTGTAAAGTTGTTCATATTGTCACGGACACATGCATGTATTCATGTAGTTATCAGAGCTTTATTTTTCAAGCCAGGCCATTTCAACCACTGTTTTGGCTTAAATTGAGCTCTTTTATTCCAGAAATGATGGCTAGAGTGCCCCAGTTCTGATGTTGCTGGTGGCCAGCGCTGTAGGAGAATTGGAGAAAAGATAGCACTGTATAATGGAGTAGAAATATAGAAAATTGGGTAGGACATGCAGGTATAGTAGCAGGAGATATTTATTGGACATCTATTTTGAATAGACTCTTCACTAGAAGCATGCAGGAAAAAGCAAACATGATTTTATGGGTATATCAGGGATTGAAACTCCTAGAGTGTTATGGGTGGGTGCGGTGGCTCATGTCTGTAATCCCAGCATTCTGAGAAGTCAGAGAGGGAGGTTCACTTGAGGTCTGGAGTTCAGCACCAGCCAGAGCAAGAGTGAGACCACCATCTCTACTAAAAATAGAAAAAATCAGCCAGGCATGGTGGCATAAGCCTGTAGTCTCAGCTACTCTGGAAGCTGTGGCAGGAGGATCACTTGAGTTTGAGGCTACAATGAGCTTTGATAACACCTCTGCACTCTGGCCGGGGCGACAGAGCAAGATTCCATCCCCCAAAAAATAGAATAAAGAAAACAAAAGAAACTCCTGGAGTATTAACAAAATCTAATTTGTCTTCGCCCAGGCTGAATGGAGAGAAGAAGTAAAAAAACACTTTGAAAAGATCAAAAGTGAAGGAACTTGTATACACCGATTAGATGAAGAACTGATTCGAAGGCGCAGAGAAGAGCTCAGGTCAGCTAGTCTCTCCTTCTCTGCCTCCTCTCATCCCCAGGTCTTCAGATATTGGCAGGAATCCTCTCTGCGAATCACCATTTCACTTTCTGTACACCTGTCACCTCTGCTTTTTTATTGTTATGCTCTTTAAAAGTTGCCCTAAAAGTTAACCCTCCTTCATATTGATCTCTCTTTATTACCCTCTCCTTACAACTCTGTTATCCTCTTTTATTACATCTCTGCAACAAAGATTCCTGGAGCACTGCTATTTGTTTATTCAGTCACTGTCCTAGGTACCATGAAAGGCCAGAAATTTATAAGATATTGTCACTAGCTTTAATATGTTTATAATCTATCAGGGGACATTTGACACATCCTAGTTAGTAAACAGATAATCACATCCTAGTTAGTTCCAGCTGCTATAACAAACCTTAGACTGGCTAATTTATGAACAGCAAAATTTATTTCTTACAGTTCTGACAGCTGGGAAGTCCAAGCTGAGGCACCTGCAGATTGAGTGTCTACTGAGGGCCCGTTTCTCATAGATGGCACCTTCTTTCTGTCTTCACGTGCAGAAGAACAAGAGAGTTCCCTAAAGCCTCTTTTTTTATATAAAAGGACCCATCCCATTCATTAGAAACTTGATGACAGTCACCTCCCAAAGGCCCCACCTCATAATACTATCACCTTGGTTGTTAAGTTTCAACATATGAATTTGGGAGACACCATACATTCAGACATAGCAACCACTATATTACACAGAATCTGTGTCTAGATGAGTGTAAGTGAGTGATCATGGTGTTGATTTTTAACTGCATATTTCCATTAACATATGAGCATATTAGACTACATTCTCACTGAGATATTGCCGACACTACACAGCTGAAGGCTACAGATTATACATAAATCATATTCAGATTTTATCAGTGGCCCTCTTGGCTATTCTAGATGGGCAGATGGACCCTTAAGTGGAGAACCTGGACTTCCCATCTCCCACTCCATTTTGTCTGAATCATTGCATTGGACAAGGATTCACTTAGGCAAATGCTTTTTACACTAAATCATCCTGTTTCTTATTTCACTAAGCTGACCAGTGTTCTCCCCCAAGTTAGTTGGCCCACTGATCTTGTGTCTTGTTTGACAGGCATGCTTTGGATATTCGTGAACACTATGAGAGAAAGCTTGAGCGGGCCAATAATTTATACATGGAACTGAGTGCCATCATGCTGCAGCTGGAAATGCGGGAGAAGGAGCTCATTAAGTACGTACCAGGCCAGCGTCTGTCCTCACAGAGTCTGCCAGTCAGCAGAATATACTGTACTTCCATGTTGCAGCTACTTAGAACTGGCAGATATAATATACTGTACTTCCATGTTGCAGCTACTTAGAACTGGCAGATATTTTATTCATTCACTCAACATCCTTTAAGGGAGGTGTCATGCACCAGTCCCTGCCCCTGGTGAGGTGTACAGATTAGTGGAGCTGCTGCAAAACAAGTTACAGAGGGGAACGTCACAGGTGGTTTCATCTTGTTGCACAGCTCAGAGAAGGGGGTCCTCATTTCAAGAAGAGCTTGGTATGGATAAGTGGGAGTTTATCACCCCCCTGGAGAAAGAAGTTAGCTGCTGAAAGTGGCTTAAGAAAGTCCTGATGGTGGCAGGAAAACCCTGGGGTCCTGACCGAAACAGCAGCTACTAAAAGTAAGCAGGACTTCTGCTGTTGTATTCTGCTGGAGAGGGAAAGTCAGGGTCAACATCTGAGTTCATGAGCTAAAGGGCAGGATGAAGTCAGGTTAGTTCGAATGTAGTATCTTGATTTAGTTTTTTCACATGAACAGCAGCCTTGTTCAAATGCCTAAATCTGTTGAGCGTGGCCAAAATCGATGTATAGAATTAGCCGGTGAAAACATTGTGCCCAGCCTTTCTGAAGTGACTGAAATACGACTTTTTCTTTTTTTTCTGCAGGCGTGAGCAAGCTGTGGAAAAGAAGTACCCTGGGACCTACAAACGACACCCTGTCCGTCCAATAATCCACCCCAATGCCATGGAGAAACTCATGAAAAGGAAAGGTGTGCCCCACAAACCTGGGATGCAGACCAAACGGTGAGACTCCTGCACCAATGTGACGTCCAGATAAATGGGAAAAGAGTCCCCTTAAAGTCTGTTCTCATACGACGTGGCCACTTCTACAGCTCATCCTTAGCACACTTGTCTGTTGATAACAGAGTAGGAAGGTAGGAGAATATGTCGTGGACTCTAGGAACCTGAGGCATAGGTGTGTATTTTCTTAGCACAGGATAGTGGAAAGAGAAATAAACTGGAAGACAGACAGACCAGGATTCAAGTCCAGCCCTGCCCTGTAAGCTGCGTGGCTTGACCTCTTTCAACCGCAGTGTTCTTGTGGGTAAAATGGTATGATTACAGCATAGAGATTTCTTTTTATTTTTATGACTTCTAAGACAAAGAACTGGGTTAATCATCATTCCTGATTTATGACACCGTAGTCCATGAATGACCCTCTTTTATTTATTCATTTAGTTAGTTCTTTTTAATAACATAATAAGTACCTGCAAACGCACCACCAAAATCAAAAGCTGGAGCTTTGACAGTTCCCTAGGTGTAACCATATGGTTCCTCTTAGCTCACCCCTACCTAGATTTTTGTGACGTTTAAATAAGATGATATGTGAAATCACTGATCACATTAAAAAATGGATCTTTGGGCTCGGCGCCTGTGGCTCAAGCGGCTAAGGCGCCAGCCACATACACCTAAGGTGGCGGGTTCGAATCCCCAGCCCGGCCCGCCAAACAACAATGACGGCTACAACCAAAAAATGGCCAGGCGTTGTGGCGGGCGCCTGTGGTCCCAGCTACTTGGGAGGCTGAGGCAGGAGACTCGCTTGAGCCCAGGAGTTGGAGGTTGCTGTGAGCGTGATGCCATGGCACTCTACCCAGGGGGATAGTTTGAGGCTCCGTCTCAAAAAAAAAAAAAAAAATGGATCTTTGGATAGTTAAAAAAAAGATTGTGTTTTCCCCTTTTTCCCACACATTTGCCTTATATTAATTTAATCTTGGACTTCTCTTCCACTTATTTTTTTTTTATCACCAAACTCTGTAGAACCTCATTCCTTGCAAGTAACAGAGAGTTAGTTCTATCCTAGCTAAGTTAACTTAAAGGAAAGAAAAGTCTCTAAACTCAGGGTGTAGACCCAGTAGTGAGACTTGAGCTAAAGGCACTAAGAATAAAGGAAATATGAAAGCACAAACCAGCAGTGTATTAGAAGGGTATCATAATGGTGGCCATTCTACCTTAGCATGACCAAGAAAAATCTAAACGATAAATGAATAAGTGGATTAATCCCAATTTTGCTTTTATTTACTACCCCTAATCATCTTCTGGTTATATTCTGAGCATTTGCTTTCAGATGACACCTGGCACAACCATTGGGGTAAACCCCAACTCCACTTTTCTTTTGTTGTACTAATTAAGGACAGAGCCTGCCTGCTGACCCCACCCCCCACCTTCTGCCTATAGTTAAAACCAAGAGCATTGGGGGAGAAAACAGAACTCTTTAACTTTTCAAAATATGAGTTCATGTTTACTTTTATTTTGGCTGTGAGAAATGTTTGGAAGAGCTCAACACCACCAGCTGACACCGCGTCAGTAAACTAGCTGAACGCAAGGAAGGCAACTGCGAAGAGCTGTATCCTCGGTTGATTGCCCCTGGAAGGATTGTGGTGTCAGGTTATTTGAGCAGTCCAGTGATTACCAAGTCAAAAGTCCAGAGACCTACAAGGACACCAGAGAGAAGGAACCATTCACATCCGTAAGCCTTCAGTGTGTGTTTAGTTAGGGACTAAAAAGAAAAGTGTTGAGTTCAATTATCGATCATGCAAGCCTCTCACAGTGAATATAATCCAATAAGATTTAGTCTAAATACCCCATAAGGAGAAGCTTAAAATGGGGAAAGAACTATGCCTGGAGTCAAAAGACTTGGGTTCAAGTTCTAAGTTCTGCTGTTAACTAGCTTTGTGATGGCTGCAGGCCAGCTGACCGCTGCCACTCAGTGCCCTCACCTATAAAGTGGATAGTGTAATAGTAGGAACTGAGCATTTTGTGCAGCACAAGCTGCCCAACTCACCATACATTTTTGAACCTGCTCCTGATACCAGCACGATGCCCTACCCACCTTTATCATAAACCAGTAATACTTCTGTGCCTTTAACTGTACTTTTCCTATAAAAGAAGAAAAACCTAACTCCAACTGCCTGATACCTACTTTTTTCTTGTGAGCTCTGACTATTCAAAGCATGGTCCTAAATTTAGCAACTTCTGAGAGCGCATGATAATTGTAGGCTCTTAGGCCCCTCCCCAGACCTACTAAGTCAAAATCTTCATTTTTACAATCTCCCAACTGATTTATATGTGCCTTTAAGTTTGTATTCTGATAAGCTAGGCTGAAAGTTAGGAGAGACTTTTTGTCCAGATTCTACCACTAACAAGCTGTGAGACCATGAGCAGCTTTGCTAGGCTTGGGGTTCTTTGTCACATATGGTGGAGGCAGGACCATATCTGTAATTTCCAGGCAAGGTCTGGAACACCCAGTGACTTGCTCAGAGGTGTCTCAGAGGGGCAGAAAGAGGGAGGGGGGAGCCCTGCAGGGAGGTGCTTTCGCTCACCCCCAGCAAACAGTTTCACTATATCTCTTTTACATGCTGGGTTTCTGTTAATAATTAATTTGAGAGGAGAATTCTGTTGTTAAAAAACAAAAACCTCCAGCTATAGATTTCCTGCTGAATTTTGTCTGTCTGGTCCCAAAGAAGGGGAAGGCTACTTTCTACTGTGATTAAGAAGAAAGTAGTGGTTTTCCTACAGGCTCTCCTCTGAATCATTTCTTCAGTTAAGAAACCATTTATTTAATTAAAATATTAAAAATTATACCAAAAAGAAGATAAATTAATGAAGGAAGGTGTTCTCACTTATTGGGTACTACTTAGAGATGTATGGCACACTTTTTCAGTGCAGGACACAACTACAAGAGGGACTGTACCTAACAAATTCAAATATTGTGACCTGGTTGTTTGTACTCTCACATTAACATGAAGTTAAAAAAAAAACAAAACATTTATCGTTTACCTGTGGGCCTTGGAGTCCGTGTGGGTAAGGTTTACCTTCAGGCCTCCAGCTGCCTCTTGCACATGACCTTTGTGACTGGCCCAGTTCGCATTTGAAAACAGGGCTGTGAGAGAACATCTTCTTTCCTTCTAGAATCAAAGTCAAATGCCAGTGTCTCTCCTCACTGGCCCTCATCTTGCTGCCTCTGCTCAACCTCCTAGGGGCTATCTACTATCCCTATCTTTTCTTTCCTTCAAAATGTATTTAGTACCCACTATGAGCAAGACTCCTTACTAGGGTCCCTCACATACAAAGATAGGTAGCACATATTCCCAGCCTTCAAGAAGTCCACGTCTAGGTCAAAGTCTCTGAGCTTCCTTTGATTGAAGGCTTTTATCAAAAAAAGATAAAACAAAGTCACTGAGCTTAGCCTCTCACCTAATTGACCTAAGGTTTCTTTCTGGAATACCTGACCTCTTTCCTGTACTCTCTGGGAGATCGGCTCAGATCCATCATCAGACATATTTCTGATGATGAGCAAACATCCATGCCCATACCTGGGCATATTGGCACCAAGTTGGCAGCTAGGAAGATGAGGAAGAGATCAAGAAACCTGTAGAGTAGAATTATAATTTACGGAGATTGAGGCTGAGCACAGTACCTCACCTGAATCCTAGCACTTTGGGAGACCAAAGTGGGAGGATCATTTGAGGCCAGGAATTGAGACCAGACTGAACAATATTTTAAGAGACACCATCTCGGCTCCACGCCTGTGGCTTAAGTGGCTAAGGCGCCAGCCACATACACCTAAGGTGGTGGGTTCGAATCCAGCCCGGACCCGCCAAACAACAATGATGGCTGCAACC